TTCTTTGATGATTTATTATGATTTTTGATTTACATAGTAGAAACAATGAGCCTAATCTCTTCCAAGAAAAGAAGAATGTCGGATATGGAGAGATCTATTTCCCATTCATGAAACCAGGTTCTCATCATTTTAATTATTCATTCTCATTTAATCCAGATGACTTTATTATTAGAGAGATTAAAATATATTGAGTCCCTGATTTAAAAAAAAAGAAAAGAGCCTCCATGCATCTCAGAAATAAGAATACATTGTGTCATTTGTAAATGTATAAGTAGTTATCTGCAAAGGTACATGCTTTTCTTGATGGTCCTTAAATCAACATTTCCCAAACGGGTTCTATAGAAAATTAGTTCTTCAGGGTTTTTGTTAGGTATTGAATAAGGAAGGGTTTTGTGGTTGGATACATTTAGAAAACTCAGGTTCAATTTTTATTTTTTTTTCTTATAATACTTCTGATATTATTTAAATGTTAAATTTGCTAATGTAATTTAGTGGGGTTTTTTGTTTCTTTGCTTTCATAGAGAATATTGCCTGTTAGTATTGTATAGCATATTTTAGAAAATGCTCTTTATGAAAATGTTTGGACTTTTCATGTTGCATGATATTATTTGTTTTTAATTAATTTTTATTTTAAGATTCATTTCATGTTAAACACTAGGAAAATATAAAATACAAACTCTGAATGCCCATAATCATCAATCTAGAGAAGAATTATTTGCTAGCTGAAGATATTAAATTAATACATATAATTAAGCCATGGAGAGAAGCAAATAGTCACAAATTCACTCTACTCCATAGGCAGATGAAGAGTTTCCAGCTCTTCATGAAGCAAAGCTATATGTAAAGTAACTATATGTGCTTTAAGGCATCCTTCAATGTAGTTTGTCAGTGGCCTCAGCCTTACTTGGAGTCTTCTTCTCGAGAGACCTTTTCAGACCTTATCCTAGACCCAGGGAATCAGACATGTTGGTGTGGAACACACAAGTCTGTTTTCAAAAGTCTTTCAGGTAATTTAATGTATGCAAATATTTGATGACCCCTGATTTTGCATATTAGAATCAGAGTGATGACTTGGGTCTTAGTGGAGTAGATAGGGTACTTTTGCAAAACATTTTACCTCTGGAGTAGTCAATCTCCAGGAGAGTGGATAGGACAAGAGTCAGTGAGCAGGGCAAGAGAATAGACTGCCTTTCTGAGGGTAGCATTGAAGGCTGGCCGAGGAGAGCACAGTGGATATTAATGGTCATAATCAGAGCAGGTTTAGTAACAAATGATTGGAATTCACAGGTAGGAATCTGCTGTTTGGTAATATAGACAACACGGTATTCAGTCTTAGAAAAACCAGGACCTAGAGGCACATCAGAGCAGGAGAAACTCAAAACTTCAGAGAACAAAGTGGTAGGCAGCACCTTTTTTTTTTTTTTAAACAGGGACAATGCTGAGACAATGTTACTACATGTGGGTATTTGGAATGAATGATGGTAAAACTCAGTTTGGCCAGGTGTGGTAGGACTGTCCTAGAATCCCAGCAGCTCAGAAGGCTGAAGCAGAAGGATCCCAAGTTCAAAGCCAGTCTCAGCAACTTGGTGAGGCTCTAAGCAACTTAGTGAGAGCCTGTCTCAAAATATAAAATGGCCTAGGGCTGTGGCTCAGTGATTAAGCGCCCCTGGGTTCAAGCCCTAGTACCAAACCAAACCAACCAACCAAAAAAAAAAAAAAAAAAAAATCTTAGTTATAAGGATGTATAACCCAATTTTCTGAAATTGCACTGTTTATGCTGTTCTGAATTAAAGGAATTAAAAGTTATGTAACATTTGTATAATGGCAAATATGCATTAATCAGAGAACATGTGGCATTAGAAATTAAGTGTAGAGTGGGAGAGTTTAACAAGGACCTGGGCAAGCTAATGCCATAAGAACCTTGGATTCTTCAAAAACTAAATTACCAATACTGGTTGGCTATCATGGGCCTATGAAGCAAAGCGAATTTGCTACCATTTGCTTCTCTCCATGGTTTGATTACATGTATTTCTTTAATGTCTTCAGCTAGCAAATAATCCTGATTCCAGCTCTTCATTCAGCAGGGATATATGGAATGCATTGACTTTCTGTGTTCTGGTTACTATGCTTACAGCTATGTCTTGGAAGTTTGATACTACCACTAAACTCCAACTGTGTTCTGACCAGCCAGGTTTAAATGTGAACAATGATATTCCTTATTAGGTACACCTCTATGATCTGTTTCTCTTTGGTGGTCTTGTTGAATTATTGAGTAATATTAAGTTATCTTTCAACTTAAATCCCCAAGTTTAATTAAAATGCATGATTGCTGATAATAGGCAAAGGTTTACAGATTGAAATAATACATTTTCTTCTTTTTCCCAGTTTTATGACATCAGTGATTATGTAGGGTATGTTTGCCTCTACTACACTCAAGCTACTGACAGAAGTATGGCCTGAGGCCCAGGAGAGATGCTGGGGGCATCCCCCTTGAGCCTTCCTTCCACCCACACTGCTTCATTATTGAATAAAACTACTTGAAATATTATAACTTTATGTATTTTTTATTTTAGAAAGTACTTGGGTTTTTTTGGCATCCTGCAAGTGATGGCTCTTATTATTTATATCCTCTGTTTCAGAAGGTCATACATGAAATATTATGAGCAGAGCTACAAGGGGATAAATATGTAAAGCACAGTTACTCCTATACACATATCCATCAAGCTGCTGACTTAAGGTATTTACTTATGGCTTGTTACAATAAGTAAAAGCAAACTCAGCATTACTAAGAATATTTATGAAAAAAGTTAATCAAAATGCTTATATAATTGACTGTTCCAATCTGTACTGTGTCACATTCATAATTGCTTTTAGGCATGGTTTTAATGCCCTTCCTCTATAAATACTCCAGGAGACTCCTCAACTTTGAAATTAGAACCTGCATATCCTTCAGAGGTTCAATAAACATTATAGTATAAAATCAAAGTTCTAATTAGGAGAGCATTGAAATAATGCATAACTTTCTTTAAGAGGGCTCTTTAACATTTCAACATGAACAAGAAGTAGAGTCGACATCATTCCTGCCTTCTAGAAGACAGTGCAAAGTTTTTATATTAGCTAAAGTCACAATCAGAATTATAAACATTCTTCCATGTTAAGGGAGAAAGAGGGACTCTGGGGAAATCATATTGCACAGCTAAGTACATGAATGGACCTGAAATGGAATGAAAGTGACCTGCATAGACAAGTTTGCTCCCTATTGTTTAGAGACCCAGACAATCATTTAGCTATGTCTTGGAGTGGTGACTAAATGCAGAAGCCTTGAATCCTGCTTAGTTACATCAGGCTTTCAGCATAAAAATGATTGACTTTGGGGCTTAAAGGATCAATAATCCCATATTATATTCTTAAATCTTCTACTGAAATAGCGTTAACTTAAAAAAAATGATGTTGTTTTCTCCGAAAACCTGATGATCCATCATAAAATATTAAGTCTGAATTTTTCAAAAGAGGGCTTTCTTAAGCTAACTCAGGTAAAATCACCATTTGAATATATTTTTTTTTGTATTTTGGTTTTAATCATTAGTAGATTCTCAAAACTCTGTGTAAACTTATTCTGACATATGAAAATTATTTTAAATAAGGTTTTTGAAAGTTTTCATGTTCAGAGAGTACAATTTTTGCCATGCTGTATGTTTTGCTAGTAGTTCACTTCACTTTTATGTTTGACTTGAGGCAACTCCTGGCCAAAGGTGGCAGTTTTAAATAGCATAGGTGATCTCAATAGCACTGTTTTAAGTTGTAAGAAACAGAAATAAATTGGAGCCCAATTAAGTCAAATTTGATCAAGATTCTTCAGGTGTGATCTCCAATAAATCAAATCTGGTAGGCATGACATATATGCATAATACTGCACACATTAAGAAGTGGGGGAGTTAAGAAAATCCTTGTAATTTGAAAAGCCACTTCAAATCCATTGAACAAATCCTTAAAGGAAAATAAAAATGCCAAAGAATTATCTTTAACTTTTAAATTCATAGTCAACATACTTTACTTGCATGGTTAAGAAAATAGGTGTAACCCAGATTATAAATATTAACTGGAAAGTTACCAGAATTTGATAGTAATGGCCATATCTACTGTTGTTTGTGGGATGAACGGGCTTCTCTTGATTGAACTTTCCTTCAGCATGACATGATGTTTTTCTCAGTTAAGACAGAATTTAACTTCAAGTCTAATTGTGAATGGTAGCAAGTGAGAAGAGTTTGAGAATAAAACTCATGCTCAGTACCCTATGCTGGTTTACTTTGATATGAGGGTATTAGAAACCTCTTTGGCTATTATTTCCATATAATTTGGAATTAAATGAATAGCAGCTATTAACTTGGTTCTTGCAACATCCAGTAGTACCACGATTTGTTAGCACTCTTTAGAATGTAAAACTTGCTCTAATAAATTTTGACATACATTTCATAGTTAAGTTTTGTTTTAAAAATGAAATTAGGTCAATCAGACCAGTGAGTACATCAGAAGAATGTCCATAGTGAGTCTAGGAAATGTGAAACATAGTATCACAATGCTGAGGAAGTGAAGAGAAAATGGCTCAACTGTTATGAGAATTATTTCCTTTGTTAAAGAAATATGAATGAGCAGTTTTGTTTTTAGTTAGTGATAAATTTTTACACAGATCTTCCTCTCCTGTAAGATCATATGACTTAGAACTTAAGAGGATACTTAACTTTTTTCTCACATTATGTGATTTTATTAAGGAAGGCCACATGTCTATAAAAAGAATTGTGAAATATGTTAGCTCATGAGCCATGTCTCATTTCTTTTTTATACCTTTTCTGGCCTCCTTGTCTAGCCATAAAACATACAGAAGGCACTTAGTAGATACCTACTGATTCTTATTGAATTGCCCTGATATACACTAGAAACAACACAAATATAAACACTCAACATTAATGTGAAGTGTGGTATACCAACCACAAAATAATATATTTATTTTTCAACATGTTTTTCTTTTATTGATAAAAACTACACAAAAGCTAATTGATCATCAATTTAAAAAGCAATGTTACACATCATGTTGTGTTTAGAAATTGGTCAGGTTGGCAGTTTCACTCATGGACCACATGGCCATTGTTGTCATCTACCCTTGGTCCCTGTGAGAATAATTCTGTTGGTCTTCCCACTCCGAGGTCTTCACAGGTCTCTATTTCAGGCTGTCTACAGTGAGGGCTGCCAATGGGGAAAAAAACCAAAACTCCTAATATTGTGTACAATGTTGTCTTGAAGGAACATTCAGTTTGATTTATTGAATTTTCATTCCAGTAGTTTTATCAAACTTTGTGGCCAACTTTATTTGTGGTCTATGGTAAAGCAAAGTTTCTTTTGGTACAACATAAGCTTTAATGCCCATGTTTAGAATAAAAAAAAAAAAAAAAAAAAACAGAATCACTTGACCAAGAGAAAAAAAAAAGAAAAGAAAAATTAAACCAACCAAACAAGAACATAGTATTTTTAAAGGGAAAATAAAATGAAAGCAATTGAAATAAAGTCTGTGAGTGTTACACACAACTAACAAGGAAAACCGTTTTGATTCCCCAAGTTCCCACCCACCCCTGTTTACCTGCCCCCTGTGGTTCTCCAGCCCAGGAACCATGCAGTGTAGAAAAATCAAATATACAAACAAACCTATAGATAGCTAGGGTGAAATCTATTTTTATAAGAACTTGACACTCTGGACTATTTACATAGTGTCATCCGGGAGCATTTTTGTTTGTTTTATATTTTAAAGCAAAGAAAGTTTGGTAGTTCTCCCGGTTATGCTGAAGGTGCATCCGCTGCCCTCTGTAAGCAGTTTTGGTTTTTCTTTTCTCTATGCCATTTATGTTTGTTTGTTTAACAGGAACGATGAGCTTGCTTGATTGCGTAGGTTGGGACACCCATATCTCCTTTAGGATGAAAGCCCTCCCTACCCACAGCGAGGTCCCCAGTGAGGAGTTGGCTTCTGCACTAGTTTGTTATTCTCTCCAGGTAAATGGCAGGTGCAGCCGACCTGGCGATAGTGGCGATGAAGCTGTGGTCTCGACCGAGCTCCAGGCTGGGGCTCTCCTCCTGCTCCGGAGACACTGTCTCATAGCCCTTGTTGACGTGCAGTGGCTGGTGAGCCTGGCAGTACCCGATCACCGGCTGATCGTAACTATAGTAGGGCAAGGGCTTCACGTGGTGTGGAATCTGCATGTGAGAGACGGAAAGACGAGTTGATTACAGAAATGTTTCAGAAAGGTAAGCAGATTATATTTTTGTTCCCCATGCTGTTTCAAGACATCGAATATGGATGGAAAGACTAATAAACACTAGTTAGCAAGAAAAAAAAAATTCATCCAGGATAATTTATATATGCTTTGCACTTAAAATCATAGACAAAGAATCTACAATGCACTATCATCTCTCATGGTAGCCATTGCCATGTCCCCATTTCAGAAAGTCAGAAACCACTTAAATGTCCACCATCAGAGAAATTTAAAACATTATGTACATCCATGCATTCAAATGCAGAAAAGCTGACATTACAAATATGGGTTGTGTTGCAATATGGTAAGACATATTAAGTACAGAAAGATTAAAAAGGTGCAAGAGAATGTATGATTCATTTTCTGTGAATAAAAATGTAATCATGTGTGTATTTTACATATATATTATAAACATGTTTATTTTCATTTGTACTTTTCATTTCATGTATTTCAAATCTCTATAATGGGTGTATATAATTTTTATTTAAACTTAAACAATAATCCCACAAATCATTTCTTTTTCTTTCTTTCTTTCTTTTCTTTTTTTTTTTTTTTTTTAGAGAGAGAGAGAGAGAGAATTTTTTTAATATTTATTTTTTAGTTTCGGTGGACACAACATCTTAATTTTTTTTTTTATGTGGTGCTAAGGATCGAACCCAGCTCCCTGCGCATGCCAGGTGAGCATGTTACCGCTTGAGCAATATCCCCAGCCCTCCCACAAATCACTTCTAACAGTTCATTACTTAAAAATATTATTCCAAAGAACTCTGGGATCATGGGAGAAGACATATCTTTGTGTTCATAACATGTAATGTTATTATTTGTGTTCAAGCTAAGATGCTAAATGTGTGTCTACTGATGGTATAATAAATGGTCCACAGAAACTCCTTTAACAGGAAAACCTGAACATATTAGAGTACTTTTGATTTGCTCTGCAGCTTTTTATTAAACCATAAATTTTTGATTTTAAAAAAGTGCATTCCAGTGTTAGAAAAAGAAAATTGATGATTGCTCAATTCTTGATCTCTTTCTAGAACAGTTCCCATAACCTGTTAGATCCAATTTGACACTGTTGATTAGGGATCCAAAGATGGTAGAGTGTGATTGCATCACGGCTCTGTGAAGTTAGAAGTTGTGGCAGTTTTTAAACTTCTGTCTCTCAGCTTCAGCTCCACTTTTGTTGTACGCTTTATGATCCCGGAGTTGGATCTTTATAGACTGCATTCCTTTTACCTGTTTTAAGCATGGGAAGGCTTAGAAGAAGGAGAGTAACTGCTCTCAGTGTAGGCTGTCTATCTTTTCCTCCTGCAGGGATTCACTCCAACAATACTACTTCATTTTGTCTGTTTCTTTTCATTCCTATGGTAGCAGGTTATACCTGGTTTCAGTCTTTCCAATATTTGCAACATAGGAACACTTGTTAAAACTTAACTTACACCCCTCCAGCCCCTGCCCCATCACACACACCAGATACCAACACTAGAGAAATATAAGGGTCATCTCCTCAAAAACCTTTCTCTAAACTTTTAGGTTTAGTGATTTCAACATCTTCCTTTTGTGCTGTCAACCCTACATGAGGAAGGAGTGGTAGCTACTTCCTGAACTTGTCTCTGTGATACCTTGGCACTATACTAGTCTTTTCATTAATTAATAATTCTATATCATATTAGCAATTCTTAATTAGCCTTGTTTGTTAGAATAACTGATATGCTGTCTCCTAACTGGACTACGTTCTCTAACTAGAACAGAGAGTATCAGAATAAAGTTAAGGGTATACTGTTCCATTAGAGTTTTGCTTCAAATTGACATGCACACATATTTGTGTATGTACTGGTCACATTGTGAATTTTTAAAATCTGGAGATCACAGTTAAAGATGTTTCTGAAAAATACTTGATCAAATCACATATTCAGATTACAGTTTGAGTCTTTGCAATAGTTCAGAAAAAATTCCCATGCTGCTCTTAATATTCTTTCTAAATGCATATAATTCAGTATTTTTCATGATGAGGTGGGAAATTAAATTTATATATATAGATTATATATATATACACATATATATACTATTGATTTATATATTTATAATATAAACATATTCTCTATGTATACACACACACAGGGAGAGCACTTTTGTAATGAGGCACATTGACTTCTAAGGAAAGCAAACATTATTTTCAGCAAGATTTAATAAATAGTGATGAATCAGAAATAATAACAGAATTTCTCACCAAATTGTTGATATAACCTTGAATATACAAATCCATCCTCAAAAAAAAAAAAGGTTTAGAAAAAGTACATACTAGGTTAATTGTGACTGATGTAGAGATGTTGTAGACATTAGACATTTATTGGTGCTGACAGATCAAAGAACAGATTTTAAGGCAACAGGTCCAAATTACTTGATAGTAAATACAAAGTTATGTCTAAACTACCTCACCACAAATCTGTGGGTTTGATATTATTTCTTATTTATTTAGACCTCTATATATCTGTACAGATTCAGACATGAACTGTTTGCCAACAAGCTCTATCTTGGGAAATCTCATAGGATTTTGCAGTGTGTCAGATAGGAAGAGAGATGCACGATTGGTATCATAGGTCACCACAACTCTGACAAAGCACATCAATGGAAGCAGATACTTTGTTCTGGCATTCTAGCCAGGATAAATATTTTGGAGAAGACCTACCTAAGAGTAAAATGATCCATTCTTACTTTTTGTCATTAATAGGTAGATAGGTATAGCTTGAAAACATCCTAAGAATTCAACACATTATTTCCAAAATATACAAATACTCACCAGGTATAGACATTTATTCCACACAATTTCATTTAAAGGAATGACTGATTTTCTCCAAATTAGCCAACTTACCAAAACAAAAAAACACATTAAAATTAATATTACTTCCGACTTGTGCCTCTTTCAATGTCTTGTAGCACCACAAATGCTCTTTCTCCAGTCATTGCAAGAGCACATACTTGAATGTGCAAACATGTGTTAGTTAAAATGACAGGAATTAAGAGTCTTCTAGACCCTTCTGTGCATCAGAAGCTCATAGGTGAACAGCATTGAATTTCAATTAAGAATTAACACTTTCATAGATGAGAAATCCTATTTGTCTTCAAATTAAGTTGGCTCAAAATGTCAAGGAACCTGCATTAATTACAGAGTTTTGGGGTTGGACAGGTTTGTTTTGTTGTTTTTGCAATATACAAGGATTCATTCCATTTTTTCTTATTATATTTTAGACAGGCTTAGAACCTCTTGCAAGACCAGAAACCATTGTAAAGTTGCCTTCTGCAAAACTGACCAATGGCAAAAGTTCAAAAGCCAAGTAAATTGGCAAGGTTTGAAAAGATAGTACAATGTTTGTTCATTTACTCTTAAAGTCTATTCTGTAGGGCATTTGTAATCAACAGAATTTGTGGTTTCTGAGCAGCTAAGAGACTGAGGTCTTGTACTTTATAGTAATAATGTACAGTACGTTAACCACCTGGGTCCCTATGTGTATCATTGTTTCCTTTCCAGTAGTCAAAATAAAGTATCCTTTAAGCTTCCCTGAATGCAGTTCTGGTATTTTTGTAAATGTGTTCTCAGAGCTTTTCCAAAGGGTCCCAGTGCTCCATCAGCTCTCTGATGGGCTTTACCGGGTAGCTCAGCAGAACACCCCTATTTAAAGACGTCCTCGATCCCATGCTTGACTACACATTGGCTGCATCGGAAGCTATGCTTTACTTACAGACAATGGGTGTGGTACACAGAATTTAAAAAATCATATTAGGAGAATGTATTTTATTATATTGAAATTTTTCCATTCACTTCTCTGAAGGATATGAGCGCTTCAATATGAATCACATTTAAACATCTGTAGAGGCATATTTCATAACTAAATCAGAGGTAAGTTGCAAGGCGGATGAACCGTCATTATGACTAATTATAAGTCACTTTAATTCTTTTGAGTTTCATGTGAATCCTCTGAAAATGGGGATAATAATGACACCTCATTTACCTCTATAATAAATTTCAGATAACCCTGAAAGGCCTCCCTGATTCTTAAGAAAGAAAAAGAATACAGTGAAAGGACATATTCTTATGCTTTTTTTATTTGATACTGACAGCATCTTTTCTGGAAATGTGCCCTGTCTTTTGTCTTATAGTTTCCATTCAGAGAAATGCAGGCCATGAGGGTCAGAGAGTGGCTCATTAACCAAAGGCTTTCAGTCCTACTTGGTGCACTAAGGAGCTGGAAACCTTGGCGTGTGTTCTGGTTTTCTGAAAGCATCATTTACCCTTTGCTAGGATATGTTTTCTTCCAACGCACTGAACGGAGTAAAAACCTGACACATTCCTCTCAATTACAGAGTCTTGTAGCGCTCATGATTTAAAGAGAGAAGTCCAGGGGGAAAGAATATTTTTGAATCTGGGAGGAACAATGAAATTTTACTCATGTAGAGCTTCAAAATCTGCAAATTGACTTCCATCTCATAATTTTACATCTGTGATAATTATATTTAAAATGAGAAATGAATGTGTAGAGTAAATGTGAGAGGAATATGAAACGGATTCTTTATATATTTGATCAAAGTCTTTTGAAGTTCAATTTTTGTTATGAGCATGAACTTCCAATATTGTTAACCTCTTTTCTCAAAGGTATTAGCCTTGGTTATAAGTAGTTTAAGAGTCTGATCATTCTTAAATTACCGTGGACTATCATTAGTCTTATTTATTAACTTTTCATGAACATTGTTCACATTTCAGTATGAGCTCCTTCAATTGAAGTCATAAAAGGTTGATTTTCAATTTCCTAAATGACATTTGTTCTCTAATTTCCAGAATTAAAGGATAGTGTCTGAGTATTCAGACCATTTAAAAAGTACCATCATATAAATCCAGATGAAAAATTCAATATCGTTGAATTGCTTAATGAAGATGGACACTTGGTT